TCTCTCAAGAACTTCTTCACCACACACTTGAACTGGGAGAAGGTTTGGCTGTTGGGGACCTCTCGTCCCATGGTCAGGATCTTGGAATAGCACAGAGTGTCTGGGAGCTCCTACAGGAAAAATTCCATGATTTCCAGGAAAATCACAAGGATTTGCAGCCATTAGAGAACCAGACACAACGAGCCAGAAGCAGACAGGCTCCTCAACTAAACTAAACAGAGCAACTTCAGTTACAGGCAAGAGAACTTGTCCTTCACCGCCTTTGCTTCTTCTCTATGACACAGAACCAAGATTCCAGAGCACCTGGTGGCATTTTTATCCCTTGTGCCTTTGCTCCTTCCTCCCTGGGAAAGACAAAGCTCATGGAACACCTTTTCCAAGCCATTATCTTCATGTTTCATATCACAACCAAAGCTCTTCACTATAAAAAAACTGGGGCATCCCAAAACTGGAGCCAGGCTGGGAGAGTTGGGGTGGTCAGCCTGGAGAAGAGAAGGCTCCAGGGAGCCCTTAGAGCAGCTTCCAGTGCCTGAAGGGGCTCCAGGAAAGCTGGGGAGGGACTTGGGACAAGGGCAGGGAGGGATGGGATGAGGGGGATGGATGAAACCTGGGAGAGGGAGATGTAGGTTGGACATAAGGAGGGAATTCTTTGGTGTGAGGGGGCATAGAGCCTGGCCCAGGTTGGGCAGGAAAGCTGTGGCTGCCCCATCCCTGGGGGTGTTGAAGGGCAGGTTGGATGGGGCTTGGAGCAGCCTGGGCTGGTGGGAGGTGTCCCTGCCCATGCAGGGGGAGGGACTGGATGATCTTGAAGGTCCCTTCCATCCCAAAGCATCCCATGATTCCATGACAACTTGTGCAGGTTGGTACCAAGAGGATCCAGGCTGAAGACCCCAGACCTGCACTTGATCCATGACCAAGACCCCATCCTGAAGGACCTTCCCCTTGCCAGAGGATCCAAATTCAACCCCTCAACCCCCTGCCAGAGCTCTCCTCACCCTCTCTAAATTCTCTTCGTGTCAGAAACACCTTCCACGTGGCAGCACCAGGCCCCCCCAGAGCTTGGTTTGCCCCCCAGGACTGACCTCTGGCCCGTAGTAGCGTGTGGTGTAGGTCAGGTCGATGATAAGCCCCAGCTCCTCCTTCTGCTCCCTGATTTTCTTAATGAGGTCACGAGGTGAAAACCTCTCCTCTGGATGAAGGTTCTTCTCAAAGCTCTGAGGGGAAATAATGTTTGGGAGGCCAGAGAGTAAACTGAGGTGCACTGGGAAGGGTGGGAAGAGGTTTGTGCTCCAGACTTTGTTTCAGTGACTCCTGGAAACCCTCAGCTGAACAGTCCAAATAACCTTGGACTGTTCAGCTGAGGGTTTCCAGGAGTCACTGAAGACTTGTCATTGTGGCAAAACACTGCAGTGTGACACAGACACCCAGGAACTGATGGGTTTGTTTGGTGAAAGATCTAAAACAGGCCCTCAAACCCAAAGAAGGTGAGCAAAGTGCACTGCTGCCCACCACGAGATCTGCAACCCCCATCAAGACGTGATCCACAGGGTCTGGTTTAGGCACAACTGTGCTCAAACCACCCCAGAGCAGAGCTGAGCCCTGCACACAAGGCAGGACCTTCTGCAGAAACCTTAGAGCAGCTTCCAGTGCCTGAAGGAGCTCCAGGAAAACTGGGGAGGGGCTTGGGACAAGGGCAGGGAGGGATGGGATGAGGGGGGTGGCTGAAAACTGGAAGAGGGAGATGGAGGTTGGAGATGAGGAGGGAATTCTTTGTTGTGAGGGTGGTGAGAGCCTGGCCCAGGTTGGGCAGGGAAGCTGTGGCTGCCCCATCCCTGGGGGTGTTGAAGGGCAGGTTGGATGGGGCTTGGAGCAGCCTGGGCTGCTGGGAGGTGTCCCTGCCCATGCAGGGGGGGGTTGGAACCTGATGACCTCTAAGGCCCCTTCCAACACAAACCATTCCACGATTCCATTCCCGGCTGGCCGGACCAACCCCCAGCGCTCCCAGCACCATTCCCAGGCCTCCCCCGGGAATCCCATCCCACCCTCTGCCCTCTCACCCCAGT